ACTATGACGTCACTGCTTGTTTATGTGGGGGATAGAATCGCCAAATCCAATAGAAAATTCAACAAAACTTGCTCCTAGCAAAACAGTTTTATCTAAAATAGCCTGGTTTTCAGATATAATATTTGTTAATATGTACTAAAAATATTCTGAGAGTTTGCTGGCTATTCTATACTTGTCTTCGTGGATTGATACGAGTTTTAGAACAATTTTCGGTGAATTTGCGTTGATTTGATCCCCTCCGATGACCATGATGCTTTGCGTTTAAACAATAGATTGTTTTGATGTGACGTCATAGTGAAATAGGGCAATTACTAATTTTCTTTTACATTAAAATCATTTCATGAGGTGTTATTCATGAGCACTGTGCAATAAATAGTGCTTTTATATCATAATGATATACTGCTTACATCACAGATAAAATATGATTGCCTTTTGCACTTTATTTCAAATATATTTCAATTTGCTGGCATTAAACAATCATTAAATTAGTCCCTTAGGCTCGATGTATAAAGGGAAGGTGATTGCTATGGTTATCGCATCAGGTAGACAGAGGGAAAGGGAATATTCCTTTTACCTTTAGGCCTAATAGAATTTACATGGAAAACCTTTTATCAAATTCAAGAAGAGTACACCTAATCGGCTAACGTGTTGCTATGTACGTTACCACCCAATTCAAACCTACTGGGAATAGAAGTATTCAACTGTGAAACCAAAATATAACGAACAATGAAACTTAGTCACATGTGGTTTGAATTGGGCGGAAACGTTTATAGCAACACGTTAGCTGATTAGGTCTGTTGATACAATACTGCAAGTGGATTGCTTCATATTATTGTCCAAGACAGAAATTTCCCTTCTATGAAAATGGAATTTATTTTACGAAATGAAATAATTTACTATATTCTACCCAGGTTTGAGTATGCCATTAATTTTCCTATTACTACCAGTTTTTTAAATCATTATTTTGACTTCACTCCTTCTTTATGATCTTATCGTTTTTTTAAAACTCAACCCTAGTATTTTCCATCCAGTTTCATAACTGACTTCAGGAGTACTTAGAATTAGGAGTACAAAGAGTAACCACGATGGCTTATTAAATGTTATTTTGATTAATTTCCAGGTTAAAGTAAAGCAGCATGTTGTGGATCTGAAATTGCAGCCACTGAACATGGTGTTGAGGAAAGCCTTAGAACAAATCCAGAATAAAGATACCGGTGACATCTTCAGTGAACCAGTGAATCCTAATGAGGTATGATAACTGTTTAGATAAATAATATAGACAACCCGGCCCCTAACTAGAGCCTCAAACATAGTAAAAACCTTTTAAGTTGTGAACTCTTTCCAAGTCAAACAAAGTAACAAAATCTGTAAAGATAAAGTGAATAACGCTCTGAATGATTTAGTCTTCAACTGAAACAATTAGAACTTTGGACAACAAATCCTGTCATGAAGAGAAAGGAAGAAAAATCTCTGAACTGCTTTTATTTGGACCTGGAAGTAGTTTTTCCATACGATTGACATCACTCTAAAAGCTCTATAGGACTGCCTACAAAGCCCAATTTTTAACCAAAGTTTTTTATTGTTTCGTAGGTTCCTGATTATCTTGATGTTATTAAAACCCCAATGGATTTCTCAACCATGGGTTCAAAAATAAACTCCAACTCCTACCACACGATAGACCAGTTTGAAGCTGATTTCAGCCTAGTCATAGAAAACTGCTTACAATACAACGCTCCAGACACCATCTACTACCGTGCAGCTCAGAAATTGAGAGACCAGGGGAGGCCCATCATCCGAGCTGCACGCAGACAGATTGAAAGGGCAGGTATTGACCCAGTCACTGGCTTGCACACTAAGGAGGCTCCCACCCTTGCTGATAGGGAACCAACTGAGGAAGGTACTTGTGGTAGCATTTTTTACTCCTCATTCCATAAATATGCAACTCGGTAGCTGCCAGTTGCATGCTCAAAATTTGGTTTTTTGCTGCCGTCAATCAAAACTAATCAGACTGTACCTTTCATATTTTGACCGGTGGCAGTGAAAAACAAATTCCAAAGGGTAAATCGCAACTACAGAGTTTGCATTTTTATGAAAATAGCAGTAATGCAAAGGTGTTAGGGCTTGGAGATTCATAGACAATGATGTCTGTATGTATACACTTAATTCTTTTTTATTCACCTGGGCCCGGTCATACAAAGGGTGTAAAGCACTATCTGACGGGTAAATCCTTATCCAGTGGATAAGTCGATACTGTTATCCAATAAATTTATCCATTGGATAAGATTTATCTCGAATAGCGCTATCCACCCTTCGTACACCCAGGCCCAGGTGTTCCAATTAATTTTGACAGCCATGTGTGAACTAAGTATGCCCTTAGTTACTTTATTTTGAATGAAGATACCAACTATGTATTTTGATAAGAGTGCAGTGTGCTAAGTTACTATGGTAACTTTTTTATAGTTACCAAGGTTTTTGGCAAGTAATGAACCATTTCTCTTGATAGAAGCTGCTTTCCATTGTTACTCTACTACTTAATTCAAGTGCTGGGCACTGAAAAGGTCTAACAGTGCGTCGCCAAAATGTCTTGTTACATGACTCAGTGACCATATTCTGGTATTTCTTCAGATTTCATTTTGACTGACGAACAAAGAAAAGAAATGAGTTTAGAAGAACAGCTGAAGGATTTGACGGAAAAACTTGACATGACACAAGCAATAAAACATGGAGGTAAGTGATTTATATTTCTAACATGAAGAAACGTCAGTCACATCAAACAGCAGTCCTTCTCAGGACTACATCCACCCGGATGATCATAATACTTCGATTAACATTCATTCACCTGGGTTCAGACCGTTCTATACAATATTGCTGACATGATTGAGGTTTAACCTCCCATTAATAGGGACTTTAAGATTTGAAAAATCTACGACGGCGGCGTCAACCGGAAGTTTAAATCATTTTTCTTTAAGGTTCTGTTCTTTGGAGATTTTATTCAAGACATTGTCAGTAAAGTCAACTCATGCACAGTCAAGACAGACTTTGAAGGCGCGAAACCCCATAGTGAAGTTACTTACACTTCCGGTAGACGTCGCCTTCGCAGATTTTGCAATTCTTAAAAGTCCATGATATGAGTGTATGTGACTGTACCCTTAACCATGACGATACTATGTGTAAGCATTTTGGATGGATAATAAGGTGTGACCTCGTTCATATTCATGTTACCTTTTCGTGCGCAAACGTCTCGTATTCTATTGTATGCTTATATTTAAAGAGTAGCTAACTTTTTTTCTTTCAACAGGTGTGAGGGCAACAAGAGTTCGAACGCTTAGAAAAGAAATTGCTCTTGTTAGACGGAAACTGAACCAGGTAAATATTACTTCATGTTTACGCGCTTAGATTTACTCCACTGTTTAGTCCCCTTTCTATTGTGCAAGCCAGAGCATGTAGGGCTTGCGCACTTTTAGACTAGGTCAGCACCAACTTTTGTGATAAAATCTGTGGTTGGCTGGTGATAAATTTGAACGTGCCGAACCTTCTTTTCATGTTAAGGCGATTTGTGTCTGACTTAAGAATGCTGTATAAACTTATCACAGTAAAAGGTGAATTAGCACATTGAAGGGCCTGAGTCAGAGAACTGAGCTTGTTATCAATGTAATGCCATAATATATCTTAATTCAGTATGTCTAAAGGAAGACTAATGTTGATGCRAGCAAATTACCGCTTTATCCTAATATATATTATTGATTTTTTGTTACCAGGAAAAAAGACGCCTTTCTGAATCAAGTGGTAAGTTTCACTTTTGTGCTTTCCATGCCTTTCTTACTGTCTGTAGGCAGACTAAACAATATTTATCATTGCCTTCCCATTTCTTTACAGGCGGTGCTTTTAACGATGAAAGACGATCAAGATCTTGTGACGTATTCACCAGTGAAGATTCAGCCAATGAAATACCTCCAAATAAAAAACCAAGGCTTGAAGAAAACACGCTTCCCGAAGGAGACATGGCAACTACACATCCCGCGGGTACCGTGGCGTCTGAACCCAAGGCAACCGCTGACYCGTCTATCTCCACGGCAACCACCAACCCCAGCCCTGGCATGAGCCGAAGGAGTGGGATCCTCTTCAACAAAGGTCGAAGTCGTGTACGACGAAACTTGAATGTGACGAACGACAAGTCGTATGTGGATGGCTCTGTGGTTCCAAACCACGTTCTACAACCGGTCAATCATAAGAAAAACACCGACGTCTCTACGGAGTCGGAGGTGACTCACAATCACAAGACAGATGTCAACAGAGGAGTAGAAAGTTTGTTTGAGGAGAGAAACCCGGTCAGAGATACGAACAATAAGTGGCGCAGTGACATCGGTAATCATGAAGGGACGTACCATCACAGAAAACCGTACAAAACAGAGCTTGGTAAACTTATCGAGGACGCGACTCTACCAATGTACGAATGTACGAATGAGGGACGCGACTTTGTTTTTACTAACGGCTTGAGACAAAGGAATAACCGATCGTATACTAGTGGGTCGGAATCTGATGCCGAAGTAAGGGCTAACGGTGGCAGACAGAAAAAGGTAAGGCTGTTCTCGTCGGTTTCGGAGGATGAGCAAAGTACAACGGACACTGAGATAGGCGCGGCTGAGAATCGGGTTGCGAACGGGCCAGTCGAGGATATGGTAAAGAAGAAGCGACAGAGAAAGACCACGACGGATTCTGATTTGGATTTAACACCACTTGAACCGTTAGAACTGGTGTGGGCCAAGTGTCGTGGATATCCCTCATACCCAGCTTTGGTACGTATTACTTAGTTCAATATGTAATCTGCGTTCTGGGTCTAAGGGGATTCGTCTGTATGGGGTTTGAGATGGGGAAGAAAAGGAGAAAGGGTAGGGTGGGGGGAGGGGGGTAGTTGAGAAGTGAAATTCCCCATTTATACAACCGGGCAATGCAGGCCAGAGGACTTTCTTTATTGACTTAAAATGCCTATTGTGGTGGCACTGCTGGCGTTGTCGATGTGTTGTTATTTTTTTGCCCCTGTTTGTTTGTCGTTACTGTTGATATACAAACAGATTTCATATGACTATTCAAATAGCGCATTGCCTCGTTTAGTGACTGTGACGTTAACGTCTTCCCTGAATGTTTTTATTGAATCGAAGGCCATTTCGCGCGCTGTTATTGGTAATGGTTAAACGGTTGTCAAACTCGTACCGTGACCGTGTCGTGTGTATGTGGGGTGGGGAGATTTTCTATACCATAGCCATACAAAATCCACTGCATTGTGGTAGCGATGATAGTGATGGGTAACGGTGATAGTGATAACTATGACGACGAATTTGTAGGATGGTTTAGATAGTGCCACTATTCATGTGACTGGTTTGTAGTATTACCAACCCTATTTCGTCGCGACGTCAAAAAGTACGATTACGTGGTCTCTTTGCGCGTGTGATAGGGAAGCACTGTAAATGACTGAGCTAAAAAATCATTCATCGTTTTCAGATAATAGACCCCAAGACAAAGAAAGGATTGGTGTATAATGGTATCCCAATACCTGCGCCTCCAGAAGACGTGATGAGAGAGAGATCAGTGACAGATGACTCGCTGTATTTAGTACTCTTTTTTGATACAAGACGGACATGGTGAGAACAAGTTATTGATATCTTATTTAAAAAACCCGGGTTTCTTATGCATCGAAAATAATCTTTAAATCTCGTCGAAGAAATAGAAACTGACGTGCGCGTGTACTGATACAGAAATAAACCGCGCGGGTATAAGTGAAGTGCTTCGCAACACTTCCCAAGTGTTTTGCCAATGTCATAGTTCTTTATGACTTCACACAGCATAACACAGCACGTTTTTTATTTCTTTTATAAAGTACAATGTATAATAGCTATTATTTTTGATATGAATGACGTAATAGAAAGTGCGCTCGCATGCTGTGGTCTCGTAAAGCACGCGCCTTAGGCGCAATTACACGGAGCAATTTTTTCTGCAACTTGTTTGCAACGGGGTTGCGACACAAGCTGCATGGGGCATTACAGCGTGTAACCTACAACTCAATTTGAAAAATGTTGCGAGACAAGTTGAAGCAATCGTTGCGAAAAGTAGAACTCATTTTTACTTTTGGCAACGATTGTGTCTCCGTTGCAACGTGTAAACACTCTTGCAACTTGAGTCTTAACGGCGTTGCGAGACAAATTGCAGAGAAAATTGCTTGGTGTAATCGCGCCTTTAACCAATCACAAAGCGAGATTTATAACAGTTTTTTGTGTGTTTATTTTTTAGGCAATGGCTGCCTCGACATAAATTAGAATTATTAGGAGTGAACAAGGCGATAGACGATAGCAAGCTAATGGAGGGCAAAAAGCTGTCCATGAGAAAGTCACTACAAAAAGCTTACGAACGAGCTATCATGCATCAAAACCAAGTAGAAGCAGGTAGAAGAAGCATGGAGGAAGGTGACGAGGGCGAGGATGAAGATGAGGAGGAGGATGATAATATCAGTGAAAATGGGTTCGACTAACCTCACATCTTTGATCTTGCCGTGAATGTTTTCATACAGTGTTTTATACGTTATCCTGATTTTGTTTCAGTCGCACATTTTTAGTTCAAATCTCTACTGCTACTTATTCGCGTTGTCGGTCTAATATTGTTTCGTGTGCGCTAAGCATAGGTAAATCAGTGATGAAAATTTTGAAAACTTCTTATCCTGTCTAATTTTTCCTGGGGTGGGGTAGGGTCCAAGCTAATCCTATAATCACTTTCAGTTCAGATTTTGATAAATTCCAATGACATATATAACGACTAAGGCAGATCAAATCGTGTCACTCCTATGTACAAAATATCCACGTTGTTTTTTCCCGTTCGTATTTGCAACGCAAGCCATAATAACATACGCAAGCGCAGATAATACGTGTAACCCCCTGAACGTTTTTCTTCCCAAATATAAATCATATATGTTTATCATTTGCGCTTGATTATATTGTAACCATATTGTTTCCGTCGATAATGAAAGCTAAGCCTCCCCCCTAAAATTGTCTTGGGTGTGGTCATTCGCGGCAGGGATCAACTTAGTCTCTTACATAGATGTTCTTAGTGTCTGTCACGCAACGTTGCGTTCGAAGCTAGGATGAACAGCAGAGACTTGTAGCTGTATGACACCTGTAGAATTAATCCTTGTATAGCTTAAGCATTTTTCTTACTCCAGTGTCTTCATGTGCTCATTCATCCATCGCTGCTTGTTGCGAGTTATTCGTAATGCTCAAATAGTAATTTCTATATGAAATTTTAAAAATATCTTTTCAATATTAAATTCGTATTTAAAAAGAAATCAGGGGTCAAATTGGAACTGTTTTTGTGTGAACATTTTTTGTTTGTTTTTATGAAATGAAATGAAGCTGACAGATGTACTATATTGTAAATTAAAGCACTCGTAAAGTGGACGTGTTAAATGATGATAGACGTGTGGTTTTCGAATAACTCTCAACTAGGGTTATCTACCATGTAACCCTATATTTGTTAATATATAGTGTACAAAATATACGTTACAAACGCTGTTAAATTCTACTTTTTAAATTACCCATCTTTGAGGGCTTATTAAAAACACTCACTTTTATACCGAATTCCTTTCACTGTGTTTATCTTATTTGAAAGACCGCGCAGTTTATTTCTATCTACTTGGCAGAACCACGCACCCTATTGAATAGCCATTGGCTTTGGCTTCAGCACTTGGGTTTTATTTCCTACCCCCTCCCCAAATACACTCAATTTTAATTTTTACTAGGGTTTATAAAATGACTGTTTTCAATCTCGCTTGCAGATTGGTTGGGAGCGCGTGCTTTATAAGAGCACACAGCACGAGAGCGCACTTTCATTTGCATCTAACGGTTATTGTAATTTGTATTTTATTAAAGAAATTAAAACTTGCTGTGCTGTGTGCAGTTATAAAGCACTTTGGGATTGGCAAAAAACTCTCGACAAGCACCTAACACTTCTCTCGTGTTCTGCCAAACCCCGTGTGCTTTATGACTGCAGACAGCACTCGCGCGCGTTTTCTATTTCTTCAATAACACGCACAATCATTCGAAAAGCCATTCCACTTTTTCAAAACATTCATCCCTTTTTGATTATGAGCTAATATAGGAACAGTAAATCAGTTTTAAAAAAAGCAGTGTTTTATTTTATCAACTCGTTTATCTACATTTTTTCTAATTAAAATTATATTTTTCTATTAGCAGAAAATAAATTATGACATCTAATTCATTATTCTCATGCCCTTTTCCGAATTAACGCTTTTTGCTTCCCTGTATCAAATAGCTTGCTTTTGCGGCAACCTATAGGCTTAGAGATTGAATCGGTGCGCCTTGAGTAGGCGCGATTCCACGGAGCAGTTTTCAGTAGTCACTTGTCTCGCAGGGGCGTTACGATACAAGTTGCATGGAGCGTTGCAGCATGTAACTTACAGCACAATTTGACAAAAAGGAAAGGTTGAGAAAAGTTGCAGCAATTGTTGCAAAAAGTAGAATTTGCTTCTACTTTTGGCAAACGTTGAGTCTTCGTTGCCGCCGTGGAAACACTAGCTCTTGAACTTGCGTCGCAACGCTACTGCGAGACAAGTTGCAGAGGAAATTGCTCCGTCTAATCGCGCTTTAATTATAGTCTTGATCCAGACCAAAAGCTATTATAGTGGCAGGATTACACGTATGATGAAGGGAGCGAGAACGAAGCTGGTAAAGAGTGTGGATTCTAAACTATATACAAAATATGGCGGAACTATTAATGTAATAGCTCATCTTCGCCGTCTGCATAGGCACAAACTTAAAATAGTTTATCTTATCGCTTGCCTACTGACATACTCTGCGCACAACGTGATATGCATGTGCATGATGTGTAGCAGTGCTAACCGTGGTGGATAGTATGGGCTTTATTACACGGTCAGCCATGTTGGAGGACAAAACATGGCGGCCAACCCCTGTCGGTATGAGACTACGCCAATCAATCACTATCATAATCAACATGCGTTACAAGCCCATACCGCAGACCTCTACCTTAACACTCTCCTAACCATGCATAAATATATAAACCATTAGATGGTTCTTGTCAGTATAAAACCAACTAACAAACGTACATACATTCAACCAAGACTTCAATGATCTTTTTGAATACTAAGATGGATATTCAACTACCATTGAAACCAAAATGACCAAAAATTAATAGTATCAAGTATATATAAAGTTTCTTCCATACTTTGTACATGCGATACAGTGGTTTGAAAACAATCATCACTAGATACTACTACTACTACAAGGGCGGATCCAGGGGAGGGTCATTCCTGTCATTCCTGAGGTCAAATGGGCTTCCTGTGGTAAAAATGCGACAGGGATTCCTTTGCCCACAAAATTTACCCCTGAGACCCCCCCTTCAAAAAACCCTGGATCCGCCCTTGTACTACTACTACTACTTCTATTGGACTACCACCTTCAATACACCACGCCACCATCGCATTCACCACTACTACTACAAACACGACCTCTACCATTTCGAGATTTTGTCAGCCTGCGTGCATCCGCGGYCTTTAAATTTCGTTGACGACAAATGGAAAGTTTACATACCGCTATGTCGCACATTCGAGTTAGTGGAGCGCAAGGAAAGTTTTAACTACCGTTAATACTGTTCCCCTTTTTACATCGATGGATATATATATATATGTATATATATATGTATATAACTGCACTGTCTAAATATAAAGCATCTTCAATGATTTTTTACAAAATGTGGCGGCCTCAGAGAATCATAATCTCTTGCGTTTGAGGCTTGAAGACTTTGTTCGGCCCTGGAGAAAGTGGAAAAAAATCAAAACATTTAAACTTAAAATAGATTTTCGAAACACTGCACCGCCCAAAATTTCCACCAAAATTCATAAACTTGGGGAAAATGGCGCAAATTGTTGAGAGAAAAAAAAACAAAAACACATGCGTTTGAACTTTTCGATAAATCTCCCAAAAATAAAAAATGAATAGCACATTCTCGTTTCAACAACTTTTGACATTAAATCTTAGAATGTCCTGCTGGAGTGAAGGCATTTAACCCGTGAAATAAAAATTATTAGTCAACGTGTAATAGTCAAATAGACACAAAGAAAACAATGGAATTAGGGTCTACTAAAGTGTATTAGTCTAATATCTATTTCACGGGTTTAATGACTTCACTCTAATTCTGATAAAGTTTTGATGCGTCTAGCTTTTGTGCATCTACTTTTTTGATGCTACAATTCAAATTAAAGTCAGACACCTGTCACGTAATGTCAAATCATTGTCGGCCCAAAAGATTCTTGTAAAAGCGTATCTTTACCTTGACCTCTTATGCTGAGTGACTGACTCTCAAAAGATGAGAAATGGCTATCGATTTTTGTTTTGTTTTGTTAATGGATTGTAGCCTCTTCTCTGGGATCTCGGTTTTGATTTACATAAAAGAAGAGTTTGTTAGGTCTCTGCGCAACCAGAATAAAATTAAATTCTAGGGAATAATGGGCCGAAATATTAACGCCCATGGTAACTATGTATATTACCTGTGTCCCACTTCGCTTTCTTTTCCAACAGTCCGGATTGAACTTCTTATGTTCTTCGGCCAGTTGCTTTGCTTCCTGGACATACTGCTCACGATCATCTTCGTCCATCGACTTCCACTTGTCGCCAAGTATCACGCTAATGGCCCTGCACCGCACCCAAATAAATACAGTTACGACTCAAATGATCGGGGACTTCAAGTATGGATTGACTAGTTGGTCCAGACCTCGACCCACTTTTCTTTTCTAACTTAATGATTACAGTAATAAATATCTCAAAAAAAAAAAAAAAAAAAAAAAAAAAAAAAAAAAAAAAAAAAAAAAAAAAAAAAAAAAAAAAAAAAAAAAAAAAAAAAAAAAGAAAAAAGGGTATACCGCGCGCGCACAAAATACAAAGAAAACTTATCATTACAATTCTTACCAGGGCCCGGTTGTACGAAGCCTGGATAGCGCTATGCAACGGATAAATCTTATCTAGTGGATAAATTTATTGGATAACAGCATCGACTTCTGCACTAGATAAGCCGGGATTTATCCACCGGATAGCGCTTTCCACTCTTCGTACAACCGGGCCTAGTCTATTTTCCGCTACTCTGTTCGTCTCYGTGCGCATCAATAAAAGTGGTTGCACTCTGGACTAAGATTGACTCTTTTTCTTTGATATGTTTTTCATTGACATTCTATTGATAAGAGTTTCTATTCGAAATAAAGACGCGCACGCAATTTTTTCTCATTCAAACTATTGAATAATTGCATTACTCATTCAGTTGCTTCTCTCACCTGTTGTCTTTTCCAGGATGTGCTTGGGTAATTTCTACTCTGAAACGCTTTGCAAACAGCATGAACGCGTTCATAGGCCGCTTGTTAAGCTGTTGTATTTGGGACGGTGTCTTTGGGACTCTCGACTTTGCAGAAAAGAGGCCGAGCTTGGTTCGACGCGACCGGTGTTCCTGGCAATCCTTTGAAAATGAAAGAAAATGATGAAAATTCATTTTGAAGAAATATAAGGAAAGCCCATGGCGCAGGCAATGGAAGGTGCTACTGAGTTTGCCGTCATAATGGCCTTTCATAGAATGCTACTTCATCCTCTGAAATTTAAATTTTCAGGAAGAAGAAAACATTGAACGAACCTTGATCATACTGCTTAGCGTCAAAACCGCATTGGAATCCGAGTATGTGAAGTCGAACCTAAAATAACAAGAAACAAGGTGAGGGACGAGTGTACTACAGTTACACCACCACCCTTGATTTCCTAGCATAACTTGACAATGATCATTTGCTACTTACATATTACTACTTCTGCCGATGCGTATTGCCTTCATGACGTCAGGGTGCGAGGAGGGCAGGCATACGTCATTAGGTGTTAAGTTCTGGCATAATATCCCATACTTTGTGAGAGTCCGGTCAGGATTGAAGGAACACCAGCCTTTGTATTTGACGAAAAAGGGATGGTCGCCTGATACCTCGGCCCGCAAACTGGGCTGATCAGCGGAAGTCGAGTGGAATGATGCCACGTATTCCTAGAGAAAAGATCGATAGATCTCAAGGAAATTGTTTTGTTTGATGCTGGTGTTTTCATGTGGCATCAACAGCCGCCATGTTATATTAGATGAATAATGTTTTGTTAGTTTTAATATTATCCAACGTGTCGCATGTTTATTTCAGTGGACATCAGTCAATTCTGCGCAACGTTCTGATTAGATTCGACCTTCGGCCTCATTGGCTATTGACTCAGCCAATTCGGGCTCGAGGACTCATTGCTGCAACCACCAATGCCGATTTTGGGAATGACTGCAACTTATAGACCCCTTACAGGATATACTCGATRCAGCTTAATTTCGCACACAAAACTACAGAATTCCATTTTTACGAGAAAAGATATTCATTTTTTTCCAGTGGCTGTAAAAGGGACAGCTAACGACACGGCCACGGTACGTAATTGACGATAATGTGAACCAATCGCAGCACGCGAGATCACTGCACGTCAGTGGTACACAGTATCGTTACGCATGGACACGGCACGGTCACTGCAGAGTGACTGCAGGATCACGGCACGGTTTTTGCACCGTCACGTCACGTCACATCACGGCTTGTGCGTTTTCAAGTAGTCAAAACAAATCTGCTATAAAACAGGCGATCGCTAARTAATGCACCACACATGAATTACCTTCTCATCATCCACTACTTGTACCAGCCTTTCATACGACATTAACCTCAGTCCGTCACTAGGGTGACAGACATGTGGAATGTCTTCATTTCCTAAATCCTCTGCGTATTTCCACTCCTTTTGGCCTTCAGTTTGGATCCTCGTCCCCTCCAAGAAACAACTCCACGCAGTAGGGGGAGGGGTGGCATAACGATACCATTGGGGGTCTAGTGGGGGACTAGTGGTGCTGATGTCACTCTCTACGCTCGGGATGTTGTAGTCCTAAGGGGAGAAAATATGTTTAAATTTTTTCTGCGAATATCTAATAAATTGCATCATTGCATTCCACCTAAAACATTTAAGCTAAAAAATTGCATATTCCTAGATTACCGTTTTGGCCTCGGAATGCGCAACCATATGAACTGAAAATAAGTTTGATATCGACACGGCTAATAATTTCCAATTTTTTATAAATAGATAATCGGTTTAGTCCATAAACCCAACAAATGGTTAGAGATTCAGAACCAGTACCGACAACGTAGAATCGATTCTATCTATTCTGCTTACTCAAGTTATATTTGTATTTAATTTTTATGTCTTGAAATTATCAGAAATATTGAGAATCGAAGCGGAAGTCTAGACTCAACAAGTTTCATACGGTCTAGTACGCTCAAATGAGTTTTCAAAAATTCAGATAATTCATACTAATAATCTTTTTATTTTTTGCTCACTGCTAAAGGAAACGCTTACATGAACCCTAATTGAACCAAGTTGTCGACACTGACCCTCCTTCTCGACCAAGAATTAAAATAAAAGCAATGGTTCCAAGCTAAAGAATAAGCTTGATGTAATATTTTTAGTAAAACTGATATACAACAATCAAGTATATACGCGACTTAGAACCAATTAATGCTAGTAGGGTTCAGTGGAATATTTCATCTGTCCACTTCTTGAGTGATCAGTGATCMTATATGTTCGGGCGGGTATTAGTAGATCAACCTTTGTTCTCACAATGCTAACGACCTCAGTGACAAAGTGTTGGGGCAAGTGCAACAAGAAAATGAAGTCAACTTTAAATAGAAATCTTTGAGCTTGAGATTAAATTGTCGTAAAATTTTCACGGTTATAACAAACAGAACACATTCAAAGGTCGCAGGTCGCGCACAAGGATTGAATTATATATAATTTAAATCTGATAGAGAAAATTCAGAGACAATAACTTACAATATCCATCGGATCGCAAGGGCTTTCGTTGTCATATCCAGACACCTCCTGCACCAAAGGGCTCTGAGGACCGGTCGCGATGAAGGCGAACTCCGCCAAAATCCCTTGCGAAAACGAGTCCTCATTCTTGGTCAAATCCAGAGCCGGTGGGACACTCTTTGCTTTATTAGTCCCTGCCAAAATAAACCGCATTTTTAAGCCTAACACTGAAAGAATGAATGGCTAAAAATGTATAGCTTCGTATGCCAATAAGATTTGCTCGCTTTACTGTTGTGTTTTCTTCGCTTTCATTTCAGCAGTGAGCAAAGAGGAATTAGTTTATAATAGAAATATGTCAAAAGGGTTACGAAAGTGCTAACGCAAGCAATTTCTAGATATTTAAAGATAATCTTCCTCTTACTTAGAAATTGTTTAGTGCAGAATGGCTTCATTCATCCAACATAGACGACGGTTCCCCTCGAAAATCAATTCTAATATACTTCTTTTCCCTGATGAATTTTGAAAATTCCTTGAATTGAAAAGCGAAAGAAGGATTGTTCACTCTTTCAAAACCAAACGCAGAATGACTGAATTATGTGTTTATTTTCATTAGAACATGTTATTTCACATTCCTTCCTTTCTTCCTTAGTCTTCTCTCGGTCCGTTAATTCTTATATYTTACTCATGCATTTCATTGGTTTCCTTAAACTATTAGCTAACCATATAAGACGACTTCACTATCTGTAGGGAATTTCCCTATCGTCATCAGAGGGGTTTTCCCACCCATCCTTTTTTTTTTAGGGTATTCCCCGAAAATTCTTTCGAAAAGAATTCTTGGAATATACTTTCTTTCCTTGTAAATACGGCGTCTTTCGAATTGCTTCACTTTTATTTTATTCATTTTTTAGTTTCTAATTTCACGGCTAAAACAGCCCTTCGTGCAACCCGAATTTAACGCTGGTTAAGACCGTCTTTAATAACCAGTCGGGCTGCACACGTACAGGCTTGGGTAAAAAGAAACGAAATCCCGGTTAGAGAAAATAGTACGTCTCATCTGATTTGTTTTAACAGGACTCCGATTGAAACGTCAGCACCCTAGACTTGATCCAAAATTTTAATTCAAATCCCGTATTGATATTCACAAGGCTTTTCTTCTTGCTGTAACAGAACTAATACGTAGTACTAAAAGCGTGTTAAAGTTTGAAGATTTAAAAATCTTAGTTCGGCTTGCAAAAGTTTGATTCATTTGAACATGGTTTACTTTGCGCGCGCATGCCTTTGCTAACCATCACTTACAAAATGTGCACAAAATATAACAAATGAGGACATCTATGTTTCTCTGCATAACGCGCGCAAAAACTAAATCCAGCTCTGATATACAAAATGTCCTAGTTTCAAGTAAAWTTCTTTACTCAGACGAAGGACTAGCGTCCGAAACGTCAGTAAGTTTTTTCATTTTTTCAGGGTGTAAAATTTACCCTTTTATTATTACTGTTAAGATTAATCAAGAGAATATGAAGYAATAATAATATTCTCTTGGATTAAATACAGAAAAGCGAGTATTTCTAATGCCAGTATATAATTTACATTGCGCGTTTGATCAACTATGCAATTCGCGCAATACGTCAATACGATTGTTATTACATATTTTTCCCAGAACTGTGAATAATCTTTAAAAATAATGATTTCGCAAATCACATATCGGCGATCCAATTTTTCGGAATTTTATTGCTATTTCGCGAGCCCAAGAATGAGCATTCCTAAATTGGGGGTGTTTCTCAATCTTTTAGATTTCTTTCACTGAAGCAAAATAATCGTTACAAGTTCTTTCATTGTTTCTTTTTATTTGCCTTTTAAAGAACGTCAATCCTTTTTGACTTGCATTGAGCTTTGGTTTTGATAACTTTAAAACTAGAAAACTATAATCCCAATCACACACAAATACTGAAATTCCAAACATTTTTGGCACAAATACCACTTGAATGAAATTTTCTTCGCGCAGTTTTTAACCGGGTTTTTCGGTATTTAGTAATCATTACCTAGCTTACCTGGATCATGGCTGCATAACTTTCTCATATCCATCAAATCGTCTTCAGAGTGAATCTTTTCTAAATGATATTTAAGCCCGTTTGAGCTTTTAAACGATTTCTGACAATATGTACACGCGAAGGGCTTCACGAGTCGATCCTGAACTGGTTGCATTGTATGGTTGCCCTAGAAATTCAAGGAAAAGTTAATTTATACATGAATACAGCTTTAAATATCTTAAAAACTATTTGCATTAAAGTACATTGAGGTTTAAAAATCTATCCCAATATAAAATAACGAAAGAAAAAAAACTACTTCAAATGAAACACCGTCAAGTAGGAAAGCCCGATTGACAAAACCGAAAATGATACAATTTAATCCTCAGTAAATACTGTAGTAAAAGAATTATAGAACCTGCAAAAGACTGGCTTATTGATAAATCTCTCTTAGGCTGGAGCTTCGTTGTTGTCGTCGCATAAAAATGAAAGTGAAACTCGATTGGTGTAGGATTAATAATATTGTGACTCGACAAGTTCACTACGGGACTCAAGAAAATTTTTTTTTTTTTTTGAATTAGCCCGTTCGCTCTGATTTCAAGAAATTATAAGAAACACTAGAATACGATGAAATAAAGTTGAACACTAAAWATGTTATTTATATTTTTCCGTACTGGCACATTGGCTTTGTGTTTTTTATCATTATATCAGTCGACAATCATTTAACAACGAATAAAAGCTAAGAATTGAATAAATCTTTGTTAAATCTCTGCTCGTAAGCTTTACAAAATCCTTAATGACGTCTCCTTATTACTTAAGTTAAAATATGTTAGCACACGGATAATTAATCTTTTGAATTTAATAGGTAACTCAACTACTAACCACTACAACCAAGAGAACAATTCTTGCTACGACTATATCATTTCAAGTTTCTGAAATGCGAATGAATTTTTCTTTCCTCTTGATCAGCTTCCGTCTTTTTCCTTTCGTTTTTTCAACACACAGTTTATCGAGACAATCAAAAATTGCTACCAAATGATTTCCAGAGATGTTGAAAGTAATTTCTAAACGAAGGCCATGGAATTATGTGAGGTAACTAACGTATTTCAGTGATAAGGCTGCAAAAAATAGTCAAACCAACTTGAAGCAGGCCTCGACAAAACCCTGTAATTGAACCAGATTGCATAGGTCTTTTATTCTAACTTGCATTGAGATATATCACTGAAACTCAACGATTTTTATAATTTTACTTAGATCTTAATTCAAACTATTACGAATCTAAATTGAGTGTCTAAAGTTAGTTTTTATTTTAAGAAAATTGTATTATTTCGGATCGATTAGTGATGAATGCTAGGTCTGTGAGAGATGAAGAGATATAGTTACGTTTTACTAACAGGAAAGTACACATATCCACGCTTTAAAACACAAAATAATATTGATAATCTTCGACAAGGAATTAAAAATGACTTAAGGAGACAATGATGCAGTTTCTAATCTTGCTACCTCTCTTAAGAAGGAGAATTCCCCACAAAAAATATAGAGAAGACTTTAAGAAAAAATCGCGAGGTTTGTGTTGTAATGTCGAAGTACAATGACATATTTGGCCGACAGTCTTGAATGAAAGACTCTGTTAAATCGAATACTAAACGAGTCAATGAACTGAAGCTCGGTACATCAATTTAGAAAGTGCTTACCTTGCATATTTTAGCGTGTCACAGCCGAATCAAGGAAGTGATATCCGGYAAAGACTTCAAATAAATGGTTGACAATTGGGTCCCTTTTTACAACAGTTTTCACCAACTTGTTGGCTAGATTTTCCCCCGCTCTTTCATACACTTAGTAAGTGATTTTTGAGATAATAATTGGCGATGTCGATTCATCTTGAAAGCTTGCATCTGCTTATTTAGATCAACCAATCAGAGCGCGGGAGGCAGCGTTGTGTGTCATGCAAGTACTGGCATGCCCACGATAATTATATTCATTCCATAACAACCACGGCTCTTGTCAACTTTATCTACAGTAAAATCACTCGTAAACACAAAATAAGTTTTCTGAACAACGGTTTTTTTTTCTATGGACGCAAAAATTGTATTTCTTGAAGTTCTGATTACAGAAGAGCTGGTTTTTAATGTACATTTACACATACAACGTTGCTACAACGTTTCACTGATTTATTTCATATTCAAAGTGTTGTTTGACTTGTAAAAATGACGTCACGTCGGTTTCAATAAATAATTGATTAGACGCGTTTATTGGTTGTYATTCAATAGGACTTTACTCATTATTGGTGTACGATGAAGAAAAGATAAACAATGTGGTAGATTGATTACCTGTGGTAATTGGAAACTACATTAGCTGGTAGGTTAGCAAAATAAGTTAGTGACACAACAAAAATGTACTTATACCACGACTGCGATAGTTTTTGTACATTTGCAACGTACAGAAACTAACTATGGCAGCGTGTACATTATTGCATCAAGGTTTCTTTGTATATACTCAAACTCTTTGTATTGACGCGTAGTCAAGCGAAGAAAGAGGAACAAATGGAGGCTCTTCGTTTTGGGCCATAAAAAGTTTCTGACTATCAAATGGCCTTTTTTCGCTTACCGTAATCTAAAAGGGTCTGTCCGTTAAATGGTTTGTCTGATCCAAAATGTTTGATCATCAATTGGCTTTCTTTAAACGTCTGACAATAAAATGGCTTTCTTGCCCCAATATGAAGGGTTTTATCATAAAAATGGCTTTCTTGGCTCAATATGAAGGGTTTGACCATCAAATGGCTTTCTTTCCTCAATATAAAGGGTTGATCGTCAACATGACGTCACAAGGGTCTGACCATCAAATGGCTTTCTTGACTCAATATGAAGGGTCTTACCATCAAATGGCTTTCTTGCCTCAATATGAAGGGTCTGGCCATCAAAATGGCTTTCTTTCATCAATATAATGGCTTTGTTGCCTCGATATAAAGGGTTTGACCATCGAATGGCTTTTTTGCCTCAGTCAGTAGAGGTCTGACGGTTAAATGGCTTTCTCGATTACACCTCAAAAAATGGCCTGAACATGAAGGGGTTTTGCTGTCAGTGCCACTTATTAAATGATCAATACGGCTCGTTCCACGATCATAAATATTAAATATAAAAGTATCGCGGAGGAAATTTCTTAAATTGTCCAGTGCTTTGTAAAACACGATCAAAAATTTTAACAGCGTGTGTTATAACCCCTTAGGGCACGCGCCAGACAAATTGTCAACTGTCAACAGGTAGCGTCCCATCCGTGCAGCGCGCGCGCGCGTCCTAGCGAACAAYCCATCGGGTCAGACGGTATTGTCTTCCAGCCGTGCCCCCTGGGAGATTTGGTCAAACACAACAATAGGCTTAATACCAGCATATCTTGGATTAACAACTAAAGAATACAAAACTACCATCAAGTAACACGCAAAAAGGGAAAAAATATATAATGGGTGACGAACTGYATGTCATCGTTACATTTACAAAGTTCCTGGGATATTCTCGAACCCAGTTATATATATGAACAGCAATCGGAGAAAAACCTTAGAATTGAAAACGGTGTTGTATATTATGGGGTGTTTGCCCGCATACGGCTGACTCTCAAGACTCTCAAGAAAAGTTCAATCGATAAATACTTCAAACTGAATTAAAATGAATGGGTCAGGAATTCAAGTTTCAAACAAGAGAAATCCCTTGCGTTAGATAATATAATGCCGCCAACAAATACGACGGCAATAAGAACAAAATATCCATAAGGGGTAAGGCGTTATTTATGACAACGACGTCAAGAAACGTTACCAACGAAGAGACGAAAGAAACTAAGTTGTTTTTCAGAGAGTTTTATTGAAGGCCATTTGATCATATGATCAATGATGAGGTTTGAATACCAGTCAGTATTCAATGACTGCCGGATATATTGCCAAAGCTTCGTTCTGCCTGGGTTGATGAAAACCTAATTTTTTCATTTGTAATCATGTAGAATATTTTGAAAGTTTTGCTACAAGTTTTAACTTGTGCTGCTTTGCATTGTTATGCCAACCCCAAACGTAAAGGGCACAACCTACCTCTTCGCTTTTCGACAAAGATAAATTAAACGAATATTTCATTCCTCTAGATTACTTTACAAAGAAGCTTTTTATCTCCGCTTGGATCCATACTTCTGCTAGAAACGCTAGGAAAAGAATTCTCTAATGAAAATGTGTAAAAGACAAAGGGCATTTAGGGTACTTTAGAAAAGCAAAGAAAATCTATCATTTCAAACTATTAAATCTTGACAAGAAAACAATKGTTTGTGTATCATCCTGGTACGAAAGGAGGGCTGTAGGAGGATTAACAAAGCTTATCTTTGCAAATAAACACAGGTACMAACTCCATTAACAGATTTGGGACCCTTAATAGCAGTCGAATGGTGACAGAAGCGAAATTTCACCAAATTGTTTTTTTGAAAAACCTGGAAGTATAGTAACGAAGATTAAAAACCTGTCTTTTGCGGTAATCAATAGGAAAGTTAATAAACTTTGAAAAGAGAGAAAGAGAGAAAATTTGCAAGGTTTTCTGTGGGCTGATGGAACGTGCCACGGAAATCCGTACATCATGTACGAGTTATCTGTAACTCGATATGATAAGACGAATCAAGATAATAAAATCTTATATGACATTTCTCATTAGAATCATATGGAACTAGAAAATTGCCAAATTGGTATATTCTTTATTACAAAACTTGTAATTAAAGAAGAATTTTACGCTACTAACCCCTTCCCATATTATTAGTACACAAGCGAACTTACGTTACCTGGCAACGGGATACCGAAACAAGTTAAGACTTTTTAGGAATCATATAATGCCTAGGATAATCGTAGATAGGTTTAGGGAGGCGCCATGGTGAGCAGAACGGAATTGATATTTTTGAACCAATTAATCAACTGCCATTGAGGTATTAGATATTAAAAAGCGAAATCAATTTTACAAGAAGAGATTAATAAAACGGAAGAAAGATTAACACATCAACTGATGCTGTGACGAGTTTTGTGACAGTCAACGGAAAAGGCAAAGGGCAAACAGGACGTGTGCGATGGAAAAAATACCCTTGACTCGGACCTGGCTAGTGACGAGGAATAAATCCCGCCAAAGCTAGGACTAAAAAATGGAAGGCTTCTTTAAAAATCTTGTGATGGGAAAATGCTTGGCTTCCTACTTTTTCATGGTAGGAGAGAAAGCCATTCAGTTTTAGCTTGAAGACCCATTTTCTAAGAAGGCAAGCRTTGGCGTTGTATTTCTAATACTTTTCCTTGAATAATTTCTCTATGATAATGAAATGAAAATGAAAATAAACGAAGTGAAAGAAAAAAGGGGGAAAGAATTATTCAGACTGATTCGTGTAGTGTCACATAACAAATGCGAAGCGATAATATCAGATTATAGCGATAAAAACTATTATGAAAAATACAAGTCTATCCGGCSTTTAAGCCACACGTCAGTCAAGCAAAATTCAACGTCCAGATACACTTGAACGAATCATAAAGAATGAGGAGAGGTCAACTGCCAAGGCGACACAGCAGTCTATCTCCAAGCTCGTATTGTCAGAAAAAACTTTGAGGGAGAGCTTTGACAACAGTCTTTGAAAAAGACACAGTTGGACGCGCCAATCCTTTGGCATATATTGTAATTCTGCTCTATGTTTTTTTTAACAGCAATTCATACAACCTTTTAGTGAAATTTTTCACATTAGTAATAAAAAAATATCAATAAACAGAAATTTTAGTACAAGGAAAGCTCCTTTGCAAAGAGACATCGTTAAAGCACCTAAAATTAGCTAATTTTGTCCTGCTGAGCAGCTGGACCTCCGCTAGCTTCTCTTATTTCAGGAAAAGGTTTATCTTTACAAATCGTTCTCGACTGAAAAAGAGCGGGAAAAACACCCACAAATGCTCTAGAGATWTTGTTTCCTTCGGGTTCTGCAAAGGTAGCATGAAGCTTCCACCACATTAAGTGTRTCAAATCATATTCCTTCCTTATTTGGTCTTCTTTTGTGAACATCTTTAGCCGAAATGGTCCTTAAAGAATTGAGTTTATTTCGCTTTCTAAAAGCACATGTACGAGTTACAAACGAGAGCTACACYTCCACTGAATTGGCTGACAGTTTTTCTTCAAAGTTTTGGTCATTTTGGTACTGAAAGAACACATTGTTTTATTAGAACAATAGATCACCTTATATAAATTTGCATGACAAAAGGTGAGCATCGGACCACTGGCATCTTATAAACTGCACAAACTGAAGCGATAGTTTTCAAATAAATTAACTTGAACGACTTCAGAAGAGCGATACATTGAAATTTCATCAAGAACTGTGTAAAAAAGTTCCCATAAAAATTGAAACCAATTTTTCACAAGAAATTAAAAGTACTTGGGAAGGTTTTTTAACTTGATTTTGAATGAAAACTGCTCATGTCATATATGCGAYTTGCGGTGCGAAGGAATGCCATTGAAATGTATGAAAATCGACACCCGCGCWAAATTGTCGCAAGATTTTCTTCAAGCTCGCAATGATGTACAAAATATCAATAAATTCTAACATTGCTTTGGTGATGTTTACCATTGCTGGGTCAACTCAAAAGTGTGAAAATTTGATTCATATATGTGTACGTATAAATATATATGTAACAGTTTGAAAGGCAGTGACAGCAAGATAAAAACTGGACTAAACTCTACATGGGGAATCCCCGACTACAGCCAAAAGTTAATTACTTGACTTTTGCAAGTTTGCAGCACTTTTCAAAACATTTTATGGTGAGAAAAGTACTATTTCATGGCGGCTATCCCGGGGTTTTTCWTTGTTTATAACTTTGTACCACACGTACTATTGTTATGACACGATCAATTGTAAAACGAAAATAATGGCTTGATCGAGAGCTGAAATATATTGCAAAATTCGGTTTTAGCACTTCAGGTGGCTAGATTCTGTTCAAAATCCAAATTCCTGCGAAGTTTTGCGCTTCTTTTGATTCGAGAAAAAGTCAAAAACAGCTGAAAATCAGTTGTATCCCAGCTGTTTACATAGGTCCATAATCACTGGCTGCACGAAAATTCCTTCACTCTTTGAATGAAAAAATAACTCAACTCACCTAAAATTTGTAGAAGAAGTCCCTTAATTAGGCGCGCGTGTTACTCGCCTGRTTACGACGCGAAAATCCCTCTCCTTTTGCCTTATTTCCACCCAAAAAATCACTTCGCTGGTCTTTTTCAGGCCTTCGTCTTAAGCGGTAAAAAAACTTTACTACCGTCCGTAACCGACGCCATTGTCCTTTTCTTTTTCCTTCAAAATGTTGCTATATCAACTGAAAAGACGCGCTGTTATTGGTTGCCGTTGACACTAAGGTCGGAAATAAAGTTCATTCATTCAAAAGTGTCAATCATTCTGAATCACGTGATTGCGGGACTAAAGCGCGCGCCAATACTTGTTCGGGCAGGTCCTGCCAACCGGTTGACAAAATGGCGGATGACTTCTTAATAATAATCAATATTTTGATCTTTTTCTCCAAGAACAAGATGTAGACTGCTGAAAACAAGGTACACTTGACTAACCAGTGAACATATCTCCATCTCATGTTTATTTTGAGTTTATCTCTGTGGAGTTAAGTAAATTTTTGATTGACTTGCACGAGTTTTGTTACTCGCTGTCAGAATTTAGTCATTTTTGGCGGAAAATTTTGAGAAGGCCAGAGTTATTTTTGACCTGTTTGTTTGCTTTATACCAGTGATTTAGTTTTCACTTTCAGAAAATGTGCTTACTTCGAAGAACTATAATGACTGTCAGATAGCTAAACAACAAATTTTAAGGCATATCTTCTAAGGCAGTTTATAAAATTTAAATTTTTGATTAAGCTTATTCAAAATTCAAAAGATTTGAATGCTGCTAAGTTATATTTAAGCTTATGGTTTCTTATTATTTTCTTTCTAAATTATTGTTTTGTTTTTCTTAAATTGAAGTGTGAAACTAAAATTCTCTAGTTGTTGATATCTATAAATTTATGATTACAGAGAGCCGAATAACTATTAATTAATCATTTATTAATCTCTTATAGAATTTAGATTCCAAAAAATTCTGCTATATATTAGGATTTACATTAATTAGTGATGTAGTGTGTGACGGCAGAGTGTGTTTCTGATAGTGCTACAGCATATTGCTGAAATGCATGGTTTCGTTATGCGAGGAGACGTTTGACATGGGGTATTAAAATAAGCCGTGTGCGTTTTATGCCAATGTACGAACATGTGATCCAAGGCACATTTGAACCAGCAAAAAAATTGTAATCTCAAGTAAATACATTAGTGACAAAAAAGAAGAAAAATAGATATTTTTTATTTACATTAAAAAAGCCTAATAAATGCAAAATAAATCATAAAATCAATAGTAATAATGATGATAGTGATGGTGATAAAAATGATACTTCAAATAGAAATTTATACTTGCATAATCTTGCATTTTTAAGTTTTTGGAAAGTTATTGAATTATAGATTTGTATGAGTTACTGAACTTTTTATAGTTTCATCTAACTATCAATTGTTTTTTCAACTAAATTTTAAGATTCTAATCAGATTTATGTTTTCACAGAGACTGTGTTTGTATTGGATACAAACACATGCATAGTTACTGTTCCAAAAAATATGAAACATTGTGAAAAGAAAAGAAAATATAGACTTGTAACAATGTAATAATGCCAACATGAATATATATTGATATATTTATGGAAACAATTTTCTATTTTTTATCAAAATGAGTGAATATCTTCAGAATTCAAACGACGAAAGCATGTGCGCATATCGTTAAGAGATGGCCGGCTTTCATTTTGGCCGCCAAGCAGACATAAACTTCAGCAACAGATTTACCGAAACTCTAAAGGGTATTACCCAAAAATTCTCCCTTATAATCAGAAAAGGATTGTAATTCAGGCATAATTTCAAAGATATTTATGTACTACATGACAAAAAAATAACTTATTAAAGTGACTTACCTTTCAATTATTTTTTCAAAGACTCCTAATGATTTAGTATTCCACGTTGTAAGCACGTGGTTGCGCTTTCTCAACAATTTTCAGCGTTTGCAAGAAAGATTTCTGTTGAAATTAAAATTGGGATATAGTACAATATACTTCATAAAAACTGTAGAATTCTGACATAAAAGTGGGCCACATACTTCAAAAACTCATAAAACTGCAAATTTTCAACTTCCGCATTAGCAATAAGGTAACTTTTCAGAAGCTAAGTTGCGGAAAACTCCAACAATCAACTCCGTTCTACTATGTATATATATAATATTTTCTATGTTGTGACGTCATTAAAAAGAACAGAATATTATCCAGTAATAATTCAGGATTCTTATTCTGAAGTTGCTATAAAGTGCAACCTAAAAGAAATCGGTTTAATTCTCATGACTGTGAAAGGATGCATACTCCAAACGCTTCTCGCTGTTCCTTATTTATCTTCCCTGACACACGATTTTGTTAAACTAACATAATTCCAAATTTATCTGCAAAATTAATTTTGAGAGATCAAATTGGAATTTCGGGTCTTGAGGTTTGCAAAGCGAGGAAAATTGGAGAACTAGAAGTAAGACCCCATGAAGACGTGGATACTATCTTTCCTAATTACTTGTATATCTAACTATCTTATACAGGTATGTACGTTATCACCAGCCAAGTCCAATGTAGTTAATATTTTTTTAACATTTATCAAAGTGGAAGTTGAACTGGTGCCGAAAATATACAAGCACGTGTAAATGACATGGAACAGTTTCTCAAAGCCAAGTGTGAAGAAACATGGGAAAAACTCTATGAGGTACTGGCTAAATTAATTGTCATTGTATTACGAATGAATATATACAATGGTATGTACTGATAATTTCATACATAACATGATTACAAACCTGATTCTCTATCATTAGACGGTAATGAGCATTACGTTCTTTTCATCAGCACTTCTGGAATTATTTCTTCTCCTTAATGCGGTTTGCTTGAATTATTCCGGAAGTTCCTGTAAAGATTATGTATATCATTTATTGTCATGCACGTGATTCAGGGTTATTAAATAAAGCCAAATTACCATTTATTAAGAAATAATATTTTTACCAACACATTTTTAATCCAGCATCCTCAGTAGAAATCACCAAAAATGTTTTATACGAACCTTAATGAAACTTGAATATTCAGTTGTCTTTAAAAATAAATTTTCCAGTTTTTTCCTACCTACATTTTTTAGGACATAGCACTTGATAATTTCTGTGTCCACCTTAAAAATGTGATTTGAAAAAGGTTCAAAATGTTTTTGGAAAAATCCCCAACTATGAAAAGGGGGATCCCTCATAACTGACGCCTACTGAAAGTTTAAAAAATGAATTAATGTATTTTTGTTTAGCTGTAACAGGGCTTAAAATAATGGCTATTCATTTATTGGAATTTGGGCAGTCTACATGTAATCTTTGCCTTGCCAGTTATTTTGACCAGTAATATTGAGCCACAAACTAGGTATTATTATAAGTAATACCATGGCAAGAGGGAAATTAGTGATTCAATTTCCCTGAATAACGAGGGAAAATTTGTAAACAAATTTTCCCGAGTGACCTGGTATTACTTTGTAATACCACRATCACTGAAGAAATAAGGAAAAAAATTGCGGTTTTAGATGTTCAGGTTTCTAGGTCACGGAAGCGTAAACAACGAAAGCATTCACAAACCCTCATAAGCATGCATGAGATGAAAATATGGTTTGTAATACCATGGCACAAGGGAAATTAGTGATTAAATTTCCCCGTATAATGAGGGAAAATTTGTGGAATAAAACAAAAATAGAATCTAAAGACAAGTTGTCATTTTCAATTTATCTTATGACTGAGCATGCGCAGATTTGAGAATGCGTCCCGCATGGAAACTGTGCAGTAATATCATAAGTAGGATACGTTATAATCGATTGAGTTGCAGGGGCATTGGGTTGTCCCTGAGGGAGACAAGGCATTGTCTTCTAACTTTCCCTCATGTATAGAACATGAGGGAAATTTAGAAGACAAAGAAATCCTTTGTCTTTTACTAAATTTCCCTACATTTAATATATGCGAGAGGGAAATTTAGTAAAAGACAAAGGATTTCTTTGTCTTCTAAATTTCCCTGTTCTATGCATGCAGGAAATTCAGGTTTGTAAAGCCCTCCGATTAGACAAAAGAATCCGAGATGATCATGGTATTACCAAGCTAAAACAAATTTGGCCAGTTATCATGACTAGGTGTCTATAACTGGCTGTTATTGCCCTGTGTAGTGATAATGATAATTATAATATTTAAGGATTTTCCCTCAGGGACTCTGGGTTTCTTCCTCTGCAAAACCCAACATGTTTTTAAATTCCAATTCAATCTGCAATATAGTTAGCCATTCCCTGACTTTGATTTGTCCAGAGGTTGCTTTAGGGTATCAATAAAATTTGAAGAATGTTTGAAGGATTTATTAATATTAATATTTATTATTGATATGCTGTAACCATTGAAATATTATAGCAAGTTTAATATCTATATCTTAAGCTTGGATTTAAACAGTACTTTTCTACTTCCAATTATGTTAGTGTTCACACTGTAGAATCCACTGTCGTTTTTCAGACCCATTCCAGAATTCAAAGTAAGAAGAACAACTACCCTCCCACAGGAATAGATAACAATGATGACAACGATGTAAGTGTATTTCATACTTTAATTGTTTTTTTACTGAATTAATTTTTTTAATTTTGTCTTGGCTCCATGAGATCTTTATTATGACTCACTTATGAAGTATGACAGTTCTTTCCTTAATTCAGTACATACGCTTGAAGCAAATTTAAATTGTATCATAATATACATTGAAATGAGACACTGTTAACAGCAGAAATGTCTATTTTGCTGACACAGGCTGTAGTTTTTATTGTGCTGGCAATTGGCATGTAGAAAGAGTTTAGTGCCTATATATTGACTATTGATACACCACATGATTATACAATGATTTTAAAGCTGTGCCTTCAGAGAAAAAGTATCCCCCCACAAATTAACAACAAGTAATATCTATAAAATTAAATAATAATGTGTTTTTTTGTGTGTTAATGTGTTGCAAAGTGCCTTTGCAATATTGTAGTGCTCAGTTTTTCAAGGCTTGCATCTGCTACCACCCTGGCTTATAATTATTAGTTGTGATCAATAATTTCTGGGTACTAATTTCTAGGTCCTGAAGGCTATTCTCAGAGCAAAAGAAAAGAAACTTCAAGCTGAAATAACAGCTATGAAGAATGAAAACATTGAAGGTGAGATATACTTGATCATCTCTTTTTAAAATTTATGGCAAAGCTAACAAAGAATGAGTAACGATTGAGAGAAAAAAAATTAAGATTTATGCATTTAAATCTATTTGAGAATAGTTCATCAATTTTTTTTATCTGGTCTTTGCCATATTGAAAGTTGTGGGTAATTCGACATTCAAAATACTGTCATTTGTATCAAGAGAAAATAAACTGAGAGAAGGAATCCCCATGCCTCATCACGAGCACTCTTTGATGCTATTTTACAGTAGGAATCAAATTTGCCATCATTTTTTGCACGTGCACTTGTTTGTTCATGTTTTCTTGTGTGTTTTTTTTTAAAGAAAATGTGAGCAAACAGAGTAGGTGGCAGGGCTTAAAATAATGATTGGTAAGACACCGGCCATAATTATGATCTGCAAAATTTGTTGTAACTCTGACATACCTTGTTTCTGGCTTAATGTTGCTGGTGAAAATGACCAGCAATGCAAAGATTAGACATGACAAATTCCAATTTTGGGTCCAAAAATTCCCGAGACTGGTCCTTATTTTAAGCCCTGGACAGTACATTTACCTAATAGCGGCAAGCATGAGTTCCAGAGATTCCTTTCTTAGTTTATTTTCTCTTGTTTGTATACTTAGTTCCAGAGAAGGAGGAATTGCTGAGTGAAGAAGAATTAAAGCAAAAGGTATGGATGGATTGAGTGATTTACTGTATTTTAAAGAAAGATAATATTTTAGGTCACAATAATCTTTTTTCATAATCTTTTATTCTTAATGAATTTGATATTTCTTTTACAATGCTAATTATATTTTCCACAGCTGGAGGAGAGGACTTCTCATCTTGAGAGCACATTATCTGTCATTGAGATGCAGAAACAAGACATGATGAATGAACTGGAAAGGTATTATTAAAAGAATGTTGGCTTCATAACTGCCATAAAAAAGATATTCTCAATGGGATCTGGGCTGGTAAGATTGTGTCTCTTACTGCTGTATAGCTCAAGCTAAGCTATTCTTACACTTGTGCCTGTGGTATTAGACTGATAGTTTTCCCATAGAAATGTTTTCCCATTTCAGATGTATCATTCCCTGAAAATTTGTTCTTTTGTTTGCCGGTAAGGCACATTAATATAAATGAGAAAAACCTTTAATATCGTGAAGGAATAACAATGGTCTGAAATGGGAAAACATTTCTATGGAAAAACTATCAACACCCAAAGTGAATCAAAGCATTCCACTAGAATAATAATTACTAGAATTTACCACAGGTATCCAGGTATCCCCGACTCCAGAGATTATTTATTCTAGATCTGGCATTTGCTGTTTTGACAGCAAGTTCAAGGAAAAATAAATTTTGTGTGTCATTGGAGCTTGTTTGCAAAAACAATGGTAAACAAAAAGACCCTCTAGAGCTTAGGGTGCAGTTTAGTATTCTTTAGGGCTTGCTACTGATTAAATTTGAAGTATTCATTGATAAATTTTCATTTGTAATTGGGCTTCAGAGAGGAAGAGATATTTCAGCAAAATTTAGAAATTCAAAAGTCAATCCAAAGGAAAATAATGCAGCTGGAGAATGAAAAGGAAAATGTAAAGAGTGGTAACAGGTAAATAGTTTACTTTACTTTGCAGATTAAGTTAATTTACTGCTAGTCATTTTCCTGCTGACTTATCATCTTTGGAGTTAATTTTTCTTTGTTTTGTAAAGCTGCACTAGATGGAGCAGGGGGGAGGGGTTCAAATTTGTCAGCAAATTTAGAGGGGAAGAGAGGACCATGAAAAATTCTTGGCTACCATGGAACATGAAAGTGTGGGAAGTTATGTTATGTTTAAAACCTAAATGACCCCCCCCCCCCCCACACACACACACACACATACCAGACAAACAAAACCCCATCCCCTCCCCCAGTCAAATGAAACCATATCATTTTCAATTGGCAACTAAGGTTAGTTACTTATTGCACATTTTTTACCAAGACACCTGGAATAATTCATATTATTTATTACTCTTCGTTTGATAACAGTCAAGTAAGAGAACTTGAGAAGAAGATAAGAATAACAGAGGAAAACCTTAGGGACTTACTTAAAAAGTTGGTAAGAAGATACTGTACAATGTTGGATTGCACTACTCTCTATACATAAGATTGTGTATGACTGTGAAAAGTTTGTGGCATGAACGTGGTTGTGACATGGCAAGGTGCCACGCCAATCACATTGCTTGAAAATTTATCCTCCATCCAATATTATTAAAAGCTCAAAACCCAGAATTGTGCAGATGCATGGTGACACCAACATCAGGACACTGCCAGACCAGTTACACACTGCACAAGAAACAATCAGCCAATCAAAATTATAGAAAACATCATGGTCACAGTAGGGCAAACTCCTAGAGGAAACTCCCCTTATAGGAATTCCCTAATATAGGGACTCCCCTCACAATTTTATGCAGCTTTATGATGAACTTTGTTTTTTACAATAACAAAAATGATAAAAACTTCTCAAAAAACGCTCGTCAATGTCAGCTTCATCTGTCTGTCCTCTCATTGATGATAAAAAATAACCATTCAGCACGCAAGAAATTTGTAAGTCATTGTAAAATGGATATTTTTTTAATGAATGAATCTGATGGTTTTACAGGGAGCTTTCATCAAGGAACACTTCCCAATTCCTTCACCTGAAGATCTCAAAGAAAAGGAAAAGGTGACCAGCTAATAATTTCCAAAATATATTTCTTTTCTGGTAACCATCCAGACTATAGTATTCAATCAGTATGTTGTGGTATTAACCCAAGGTTGCATGGTTAGTAACCACCCATACTAGTGTGATTTTTATCTGGGGGTTTCCACCCAGACTAGTGTAATGGGTATCCACCCTGATTAGTATAATAGGTCTCTGGAGGTGGTAACTGGGGTACTCACCCAATCTAGTCAGTGGATATTGAAGTATATGCACAGTGTAGGGTATCTGAGGGAGGGTAATTTATCTAGACTGTTGCAGTGGGTATCCATCCAGACTACAGTGGGATAATATCTGTGGGAACCTACCCAGATTAGTGTGGCAGGTATCTGGGGGCATTCCCCCAGACTACTACAGCCACAGGTAACCACTCATTCCAAGACTTTTTATGAAAATGATTCCATGTTCATGAAGTCTTCTGAAACTGGTATCCTTTCAGAAACTGCCTCCCAGACAAAGAGTGGTAGACGCTGCTCAAAAGTATAGTTCATTCCACGAGTTATTAGAGGTAAGTTCAATGTTCTTACAATACCTTATCTCAGTCAACTAAGTTAGAATTTTATTACTTGTAATCTTTCAAATTAGGCTTGCATACCATGGAATCCCAGTTATATCCCTATGCTAGACTTATACAATTTCATATGGGTTTTTGGGTGGGTTTATATTTGTGGAAGAGGGGGGTGGGGGTACCTTTAAAGGGAGGGGGAAATCTGTACCTCAGTCTGTGCCTTTTTTCTTTTCATATCATAGGACCTACTCAATAAGATGTGGCAAACTCCTCATGACCCCTACGTCAAAATACAACCAAACCATTGGCCTCCATACATTGAACTGCTCTTGAGGTGTGGCATAGCACTGCGACATCAACACGACTGTAATCTAATTAAGCTAGAATCATTCCAGGCTTAGGAAGGTACAGGGAAGTATAAATTAATAATACAGGTTAAAATCAGTGTTACTGTTGTGCATCTTCTCTTATAATGCTTTTAAAACATAGACATGATATGTCAGCTTTAACCATCCAGAAGATACGGAGAGTGTGCATGTTGTATTTTAAATGACTGTATAAATGAAAAGTATTTAACATGTTGACAAAAAGAATAGAAGGAACATATATATATATACTAAAAACAAGTTTAATACATGTATATATTATTAAATTACATATAGAAATATATCTTGTTGCTGTACAAAACAATCATTATCATGATGATTTGATGGGCACACTGCAAGGAACATTTTAACAAAACAACTGGTTTGTCTGATGCGACACAAGCAATTTACAATTATACAGTATGCCATGTACCGCACATAACAGTGGCATAGGACATCTTGTCATCAAGCCTTTATCTGTCACGCCTTATGATTGACAAATACTATTGGGGCACACTACAAGGAACACATTAACAAATATTTGGTTTGTCTGTGACACAAGCAGTTTACTAAACACTAAGATATGCCATGAACCACACATAACATTGGCATACTGTAGGACATCTTTTGTCATCAAGCCTTTATCTATCACACCTTATGATTGTTAGTTGCTATATTGGGTCACACTGCAAGGAACATTAACAAAACAACTGGCTTGTCTGATATGGCACAATGTCACAATGTTTTTTTAAATGCACCAAGATCCTAGGCATGTAACTATGCAAGTGGCATACAACATGTGCACAGTCTTGTAGTCTTGTCTGTCTTAAAGCATCAACCCTCCATCTGTTTTAACTTCAATTTGTCCATCTTATGAATTTTGTATGCCAATGCATTATACTTGTACTCATACACAAACTGTAATTCATATATGCTACATTGATATTTTGTTAACCAGCAGCACTACATGTACTGCATAATTATTGCAATATTTATTATAAACATTAACAGGTCAATCCTATTTGTCCAGTGGTAGAGTGAAGCCACAAGTACAAGATTTTGTCCATTCACCATTGATTTTGTCTTTCTTGTGAAGCCTCTTGGGGAAAACATGACAGTGACCTTCATCTTTGATGCTTGTTTTTCCTAAAAACAAATTAAGGAAACAATGTCCACAACTTTAACATATAAGAAATATAACATGTACTGAAAGTAAAAACCTGGGTCGAGTCCCTTACAGTGAAATTGCCAATTGAAAGCCACTTGATTAGGATGACTACTTTGGTATATACTTCACAAATTTTACATGCAATAAGAATAGCTTTATTGGGAATCAATGTGCAACAATTTAGTACAGAATCAATCGTTGCTCAGTGCCAATGACAGCGCGCAAGTCTACTGTAATCAGTACAGAGATGCTTGAGCCATGATACAGGGATGACATGTTTTCTAGGTTGCTGGTTACCTTGTTTCATGTTTTGTGGCCATGAGACAGCTACACTTGAAATTTTCTCATCTTCAAGTTGCTCACCACTTTGTTCTGACGTTCTTGACTCCTGTGCATAAGGTACATCACCATCATTACATATTTGGCCATGAATATCACTGTCATCAACATCATCATCAAGTAGTTATGTAATAATGTAATTTATGATTTCAATTTGTTAGGTCTTCCTTGATTTGAGTTTTTTTTTTTGGTCTTCCTCTGCCTGCAAAGCCTCACAATCTAAATTCTCATCTGAACCTTGCGTTAGCTGTGTCCTGACTTTGATCAGCCCAAAGGTTGTATCAAGGTATCAATAATTCGGGATTCTATCTGATTTAAGCTGTGTTCTGACTTTGATCAGCCCAGAGGTTGTATCAAGGTATCAATAAATTGTTTAAAATACAATCTAATATTTGCTAAAACCTAATATTTAATAACCTTCCTAATCCTATATTAATTAAATAATCACATGATAAATCCTACCTGAGTATCATATTTTCTTTTTAGCCGTTCCCTGATCAGTAAAGATTTGACAAACTGTTTCCAGTATCCAAGCACTCTCTTCTCACGTTTCTATTTTTTAAAAAAGGTTAAGCACATATGAATGAATGGGTGGATGGGTGAATGGATGGATGGATGGATGGACGAATGAAAGAAAATGAGAGAATCAATGAAAGAAAATGCAGAGCATTAGCAAAGTATTTATCTCTTACTTCTTCCTTTCTTCTTTCTGCTTCTTGTTGTTCTTGTCTCCATGCATCCATTAAGGCAGGAACAGATTCTTTAGCCACTACCAGCCCATCAATACTGTTACAAAAGAACATCCTTTTTTGTTACTTGTGAGAAAAGTCCCCCCTTATTGATGGATACCATGTAAATTTTAGAATGTTCTAATGCAAAAAATGATTGAATGGAATAAGGGGAACTAAAGACACATCTTGGCCAATAGGCTTTTACCCATCAATTTATTCCTATTGTAGGGTGTTCGCACTAAACCCGTGAAACAAATACTAATTTTTAGTACTAAATAGTGATAATCGAACAATAGGAAACAAAGGATTTTGTATGAATTACTACTAAATTATTAGTACTAAATATTCACAGGTTTAGTGTGTGCACTCTAGCATCTAATAGTTCTTACAAGAGTATGTACCATATATCTGGTGTGAAAAAGGTTAATTAATAAAGTCGTATGAATTAGTGCAAAGCTTTGTAGGTCTACGGTTTACTGAACTAATCAATTTGTGCAGATTTGTGCAGTTTTCTTTAATACAACCAGTAATTTCTTGCAACCAGTCTTTCATGGATATGGTATGCACTCTACTACTAATACTACTCATACTTATAGTACTTACACTGGATGGCAAAATCCGCAATGAAAGTCAAACCCAACCACTGCCGGTGCTCCATCAATACCAAGCTTTTTGGCAATTTTCTGGATGCCTGGAACTTAACACGGAAATTGGCATTATATTCAAATGTAAAGATGCTAATCATGTACTTTATGGAAAGCAGACATGTGTTGGTTGACAATTCCCTGACTGACGGTTGTTCATTGGCTGAATGTTGCCAACAGTTACACAATTGGTTGAGATAATGTTGTTGATTGTGGTGCTGTCATAACAATAACTTAACTTACTCTTTATATGTTTTGATCCAGGTGGTAACATGCTTGGTTTGAACAGCTCAACATTCCCATACTCATTCCTGGGGACTTTTCCCTATGACCCATAATAAGAGCCTAACATCAATAATGTGATGTGTTTTTAACTAATTATAATAGCAATATAATTTCACAACTATACAGGGGCATGTCCTACTCAGCCCTTTCTTAAGGGGATGGGGTGCTATCTCACAACCCCGGGGGAGGGGGTACTCCCCTATATTTGCTATACAGGTATGTGCTGCCAAACAGATAACTTTAGAACAGGATATATAAAATCGTGCTCGCTCTGGGACAGGGTATATGAAATCACGCTCTCTCCTCCCTGGAAAAGGGTATCTATTTTGGCACTACCGGAAAAGGTTATGGTTTTCAGCGATCTTGCTCTGGAACAGGGTATGAATTTCAGCGATTTTACTCTGGAACAGGGTCAGGGTTCAGAGGGCTCAGCAGCACATCCCTACCCTAAACGGGCAAGAGTACCTACCCCCCACACATTATTGGTTACTGTTATACACACATTTAATACTTGAACCTTAAAGTGGGGTATTCAAAGATACAGTAGCCTGCCTAGCATAAGGGACTACTGTACCTTCCACATACCCAGAGCTGCTACACGTATGCAGGCTTTAACAGGAAAGTTGTAGAATCCCTATACCACATTCCCTGGAACCCATCCCCTGGACTAAAGATAACATTACCAATCCATTAATAACTAAATTAATATAAGCTTACATCTTTTACTGGAGGAGGTTTGTACTCTTCAGTCTGCCACTGTCCAAATAAGTCAATAGTAACTGTGCTAGTTAAGTCAACTACTGGTTGGTTCTAGATAAAAATAATTATCAAATATTAAGCATTTTAAATCCATTACATGACATCCGGGTAATATCGTATAGACCCCTTGCATCTGACGTCAAAGCAGCTCGATCTTGGGGACAAAGAAAGTTCTCCTGCGAATTGGATGGAACCTATTGTGTTGTCCCCCAGGTTGAGCTGCATTCCAAAGTGCTGCAAGGGGTATATTGTCTTTATTTATATTTTGATTAAAAAAATATAACTTTAGAATCTTACCCTCTTCATACGGCCTTTCACAATTTTGTATGGTTCTTCCCCTTGCTAAAGAATAGAGGAAAATCTTACTGTCAGTTAGTAATAAGCCTTAGCATTAAATATCTATTAAGTATAATTTATAATTAAATAATATTTTTTTGACAATGTAGTTGATGGACTTGCCTTTACTACCCTGGCATCCAAAGACATCCATTTCTCTCTTGTATGGAGCTTTAAAAACAATGATAAGATAAAGCATCGTAAAATAATTGATTTCATTGAAAAAATAATAGGGATGGGTCTGCGTGAAGAAGTGCCAAAAAAGTTTCAACCTACCAAATGTACACAATCTCTAGAATAAACAGCTTCACCTCTGATAAACCCTAGAGTGGCTGCTGTCTCGGGGTAGATAGCTGAAACATTAGAGAGAAACGATAAATATTTTGAACAAACCAAGTAATGGCATATAATTTGTAAATGGCATTTGAACGTCTTCTCGTAGGGATGATCATCAACTCTGTCAAAATACAAACCTTCAAACTTTAGTAAATGCCTCTTTAAAACATATCTAAAAAATAAATAATTATTATACAATATTTATTATTTATGTAGACTGTGGTAATAAATGAACCTAAACCTAAACCTAACAAACAGAATCCAATCATAGTATCTGATACTATTATTGAACCATAGTAGTCAATTGCAATAGATATGTTCTGCACAACTTACAAGGGGTGGTTCTTGTACTCTGTTATACTTTGAGGTAAAGGCCTTTCTTGATGTTGAGCTGAAAAGTAAAATATTACACTTTATTAACAGGGGTGGATCCATGGATGGCGAGGGGGGATAACTTGTTAAATTCTTTTTTTTTT